CCACGGGTCGGGTAATAAAAAATGCATTCTGATTATTTGCGGGTGGGTCGCGGGTGGATAAAATAAATTATAAATGATGCAAATATTAACTACATTTTTTTTTTAATAAATTTTTTTCATGAGGCAGACGATTTTGTGTGTGTGTGTGTGTTCGTTCGCCTGATCGGGAAGTTGCAGTGACAGAAATGGTGACATTCCAGATAAAGTTAGAAAGGAGTAAAGCCTGTGTTAATGCTATTGAGTAAGCTAATGTGGCCAAAGAAGATATTTTGTTTTATAAATAAATGTTAATTTAAAAGCAGCCCACGACCAGCGTATTATGTTACCGTTATACCTTACGGCTCCGACGAGGTTTTGTTCCGTCTTCCACGCTGTGACACCTCACAAAAGACAATTTTTAGCTAAGCAGCGCGGAGAGCCGCTTCAGAAACGTGCTGCGGCTGGCTCATAAACACACGCACTGACTAGAGCGGCCGCGATCAGCTCCGGTCCCCATGGAGCCGTAACGCGCCGCAGACGTGTGCAGTGAGGCGCAGATCAGCTCTAACGTCACTGAATCTGCTGTTAAAAATGAACCATCTATTCATCATATCATCATGCAAAACATACACGACAAATAGCTAATTTTTCATTGTTTCTCGAAACGTCATAGCATTTCCACACCAGCGATGACTTGACTGTGGCGCCAAATCATTTATGTCCCCACGCATCATGTACGTCGTCCCGCGTTGACGTCATCAAATTGCGATCGGTTCGTGAGATTGGCCAAGTGTAGTGAGTACCGATCGAGTCATAAAATGTGATTATCGGCCGATACCGATCTCCGGCCGATCGATCGGAGCATCCCTAGTTCACATGAACCGTTTCCCGATTTCAGAAAACACTGTTCACATCATTCAAATAAACAGCAACCTAACCTAACAGAAGAGACCAAAATATGTTTTCAGTCGGCTAGTGAGACACCGCCTTAAGCAGACAAACACTACAGAATAAAATAAATGACAAAACTTTAGACTTTGAGGACTTGCTACTTACCTATTCCATAGATAAACAGCTTATCTAGCCTCAAGTATTACATTAACTGTCAATACATTAACAATATAATTCAGTTTATATCAAAACTAATTGTGTCAAGCAACACTTGAGGTGGTATTAAAGATGAGAAATGTCAGGAGTTTGTTAAACAAATGTGATTTTTTTTTTTCCCTGGACACACAACATCTTAAAAGTCTGTTTCTCATTACGGTTCAAAAGGGGCTCTAACAACACTGCTATTGACCCTAAAAGAAAACAGTCTCCTTTTAGAAAATGATAATGATAGATAATACTATTTTAGATATCTCAATAAAAATGCAATGTGCTATACATATACAGTACAATAATGGTCTAATCTACCATGGCACTTACCACATACGTTTAAACATACTTAAAGGACATTTGCCACACTATGGAAACAGTTCTCATGAACAGGGCAGTGACTAGGGCATGATCAGGTACTTACCCTAGGATAGGTTACTCTTGGCTGGGATCAGTCCTGGGTCCCGTGGAGCGGCCCAAGAGGAAGAGGTTAATGTGGGCTCACGCGCTGAGCTGCCCCCCCTTCACCCTCGGCCCTGTCCCAGCAACGCCAGGCGGGAGCAGAACCGGCTCTGCCCCAGTTCTCTCTCTCTCGCTGGGTTGCAGGGCCTCCACAAACCGGACCGGACTGTATCCAGCACTCTTAACTTTCTCTCTCCCTCTCTCTTAATCAATCCGTGGCCATTCGGCCCCAGATCTATCTTAGGGGCAGACTTTTCTGGAATCTAACAGAGCTCTAAGGGGCCATAGTATCCTTTGAGATTTTTTTTAACGGCCAATCAAGAGTTTGAGGTAAAAAAAAAAAAAAAAGAAATTTAAGCTAGTTGATGCCACACAAGGCTACAGATAAGGAGCAACTGAGGGAGTCTATCCATATCAAGAAATGTGCCAGTGTCTGATAGAGCTCTGGTTACATGGTAGAGGGAGGCCACTGTGTCAAAATAGCACAGCATGCCTAGGCTGCCAGTTAGGAAGTCAAAAATCCTGAAGGGGAAAAAGAACAGTAATAGTGTAAGACCCTCTGGCATAACCCAAACAAAACAAAATAGCAATTTCTAATATCTGGGTTAACAATGATCTCACAAAGATAAGAGTGATTACAAAAAAAATAAAGTGCACACATTTAAAGGGGTCATATGATGCACGTATGTATTTGCAGTACACAAGCCGCGATTAAGAAAGCTGACTCCACTGTGATGTGACCTCTCTCTGTCTCTCTCCTACGCACACACACACACGACGCAAAACTCTACATTTGAACAGTCAATAGCAAATACTCAAACCATTAAGAAAACATACTTACAGTAGCTGATTCAGAATAAGCGCCAGATTGTCATAGCAAAGTCGGAACTGACCCATTTTTTTTTTAAATAGCCTTTGCACAGTCAGCCTTGTAGTCTACTCAGGTTCACAAAACTGTCGTCCATAAAATGCGTTGCACAAATTCGAACATCTGGGTTGTGCTGTTCTGTTGTAAATAAATCTTAACCAATGATTCCTAGATGTGGGGGCGTGTTTGAATGAGGCATTTTAGCCGGTCTGGATCAGCCTTCTCTTTTAGATAGAATAAATCCTTTTGTGTGAGACTTTGAGCTTTGTAACTCTGCAGATCTTATACATGCACAAATAGCTACATAACACACTAAAGAAAAGGAAAAATAGAAATCGCATCATATGACCCCTTTAAGTAAAATATTTCTGAGAAAAAATAAAAATAAAATTCTGACCAACTGTATTCTGACCATGACTATTGATTAACATCTTGCTAAATAACTGAACACGTGCACACATTTGTTCAGGAAGGAGACTGGAATTAGGACCCAGGGAAGAGGAGAGAAGGATAGCAGCTCCCCTAGATCCGTGCTAGGGTCAACAGCGAGCCGGTGAGCCCCACGTGCGTGAGGGTTTTTACATCAGTAACAAGAAACAGACAGCACAACTTTAACGTTTGGAACAGCTTGTGAATATGGAAACTGACATAGCAGCCCTCCAGTCAGTCACCGTCAGCCCAGAGTCATTTTTATAATTAAATGTGAACCTGACAATTCATAAATAAATAAGTATATTGCTCAAAACAAGTAAAGGCTGGGAAGAAAAGCTAAGAGAGGAAAGGATACGAGAGAGGAGAGAGAAAAAAAGAGTTGCTGAAGGTAAAAATATCCAACCAAATGATCACAAAATGTACTGTACGTGATGTTTTTCCAACTGTAAATGAAAGAAAGCATTAAGGTCCAAACCAAGAGACTACGAAACAAGTCAAATTCAGGCGACTATTTTAAATTTAAGCACCATGCATTAAAAACTTTTGTTCCTAACTAAAGTCTGACAAATCTTAAGCCCAAAGTATACTTCACTTGTCCGCATTTTGCACCATATTGTGGACAGTCTGACAATTTTTGTCCTCAGCAGTCCACGGATGTCCACGCACACTGCCTGCATCTGTGCAGACTTGTGCGCAGACAACAGCCAATGTACAAGTCTTTGAGTGATTAAAAAGAAAGATTCACTAGTGGAAGGCTCGCATGGTCAACTGTGCATGAGGCAGAGTAGAATGTGAAGTATAGAAGTATACCTGAGCCTTTAAGTACATGTAATACAGTATTCTTCTCACTCTGTTCATCAAGCTGAAGCTAAAGAAAAATAAAAGGGGCGTTCACACTGATAGTGATTAAATCACAAGATGTTGCTGAGTTTCTGGGCTGTTGGTTGCTAGTGAGTGTTGCTACTTGACTAATAACTGAATCAGGTGGTGGATCACAGCTAATTTTTTACGAGGATTCACAGCTCATTTTTATAGTCGAGGTCCACTCAACTTTGTTGCATCAGCAAAGATCACATTGGTGGATACTGCCAACTTTAAAAATGAATGGCATAGCCATTGCAAATAGTTTTAAGTGAGAACACCCCTTCACCTTTTCAAAGGCAGGTTTTAAAGGTCACATATTTTACACCTTTCTGGAGTTTTATTTTAGGTTTTGATGTCCTTAACAATATATATTTGCGGTATAAGTACCAAAAACCATCTCAATATATTTTTACAGCTCCTCTTTTACGGAAGTCACAACGGTTCGTGAAAAATCACAGCTACTTTATGCAGGCTGTGTGCATTTTACTGTGGACTGACTGTTTTGAAACTTATATGGTAGTTAAATAGCCCCTAGACCTCAGTTATCGTGAAAAAAGCCAGGAAATTTCAGTTTTGACAATATGGGACCTTTAAATTCCCCCAGTGTTCCCTCAGAGTGAGGCATGGACCATGTTTCATTGATATGTTACTGATATGTTGTTATTCATATGATATGCTGTTGGGGTGCTTATTTGCGCTGTCATTATTTATCATAATACAATCATTTAGGTGTCTGTGACACAAAATAAATGTAATATTAATTTGAAAACACTGTTTGATTAGTTGTTTGCAGGGATGCAAACACATAAGAGGTCAAAAAGGTGAGACAATTACATATCAGAGGACATGCTTCAGTCTGAATTTTTCATGAAAAAATAAGCTTCAAACACACATTTCAATCAGTTTTTATGATTTCATGATTGTAAGGTTAAAGCTTTTAAAGTCAAACCTTATAGCACAAATTATGAAAGTGACCAATTTTTGCAAAACAACAAACTTCTCCAAAAAGATGAGCAGTTTGCATCCCTGTATGTGTGAAAATGACATCTGCTTAACCAGTGTGTCTCTTTACTGGCACAAAAGTTTGAGACGTCAGCTAAAATTTTAAAACTAAAAATATGTGACTGAATATGTCAATGTTGTAGTTGTCAGTGTGTTCTCTATATACTGTCTAAATTATTTACTGGATTTCAAAAAACATTCAGTTCTGTATTTAAAAAAAAAAATTCAGATATGATTTCTTGATAAGAATGACGTATCAGAACATACCCAGACCCCGTGAGGCAACGTCAGTAGCAATCAAAATTGGAGCTTTTCCACTGCGGAACTCTGGAAATACAAGGTGCAACACAATGAGAACAGGCAGGCCAAATTGTGATAGCCTTCTTTAATAAAATATGAAGCTTAAAAACTTTACCTGATAGTACCCAGTCCCTCTCTGGTTGGCTCTTGTCACCATGAATACACATTGCAGGCCACCTGAATAAAGACACAAAATACATTACATCAGCATTTTATATGATTTTTATAAAAACCTTTGTTTTTAAATATGAGGGATTATAAAGATCTCTCACCCATCTCTTCGCATCCTCTGAGTAAGTTCATCACAACGTTTCTTTGTCTCGACAAAGATGATGGTTTTGTTCTCCTTTTCAGCCATGATTTCCTCCATCAGCTGAATCAGCCTTTAAGCACAAAAAAAATTATTTGGAACATTTTCATCTTGATTTGTACAGGCAAACAGGAAAGTAAACCAACACAAATCACAATATCCAAATAACTTATTAAAAGCTCATAAAATGTCATATCCAGCACTTTATTAGATACATGGTTAAATCAGCTCACTTGGTGTCTTTTTCATTCTCCATGCAGACGTCCACTATCTGCAGGATGTTGTGGTTTGCGCTCAGTTCTAGAGCTCCTATATTGATTTGGACATAGTCATGGAGGAAATCTTCAGCCAGCTGACGCACTTCTTTAGGCCAGGTAGCACTCCACATGAGAGTCTGTCTGTCAGGCTGAAGGAAACAGGAATAGCTAAATGATAGGCCTGTTAAATTGATTAATCGCTTCCAAAATAAAAATGTGTGTTTACATTAAATATGTGTGTGCACTGTATTTATTTATATGTATATATATTTAAGAAATACATGTAATATAAATTTATATATAAATTATATATTTCTTAAATATATACATGTACATATGTGTATTTATATATATAAATATACACAGTGCACACACATATATTATGTAAACACATTTTTATTTTGGAAGCGATTAATCATGATTAATAGATTTTACAGCCCTATTAAATGATTTATCATAATGAAATATATTCAGAGCTTCAACTTTAAGTCTAGAACAAGGGTCTTCAACCGGGGGTCCGCTTCGGTACTGCAGGGGTCCGCCAATTAATGTTTTATCACAAATATTTTTTTTTTTAGGTAAACATAGGTTTACCTAAACATAGGTAAAAAAAAAACACAAAGTCAATTTTAAATATAAGCACCCTGAAACGAAAGCAAGAGCACCCTCAGTTGATACTGTAATGATATAATATTACTGGCGAAACAGATTTAGCAAACGCTCTATTGCATTTCTGAGTTTGAGCCAATCACAGACATGTTTGTTGATCTCTTGAACACAATGGCCAATCAGGGGTGTTTAAGTTAGAATCCACTCATTGCTTAAAATGAAAATGAAAATTGCTTAAAAAGTTTTTGTTCAGTGCTGAGTTATGCTCGCTCTTGCTAATCCTCTCTCATTAACGATTCATTACGATAAGAGATTCATTATGCAGTGTAGATAACTTTGTTGATTTTAATGGAACGTTGTGAGATCGCGCACTGAGATGAGGGACAGCTTTTTAGTGATTGTAAAGGCAGCGGTCTTTCACAACTTTGAGGCTATATAGCTATAATCCGTTGAATAAAAGTATAGTTTTTTTTATGCTGCTAATAGGACCAACGGCTAATTACACGCTGCAAAGTTTTGGAAGTGACATCTACATATAAATGTGTGATTCAGTCTGAAGCTGCGATTGACATAGTGATCCTAGCACGGGACAAAAATATGGAATGTCAAAATAGATAAACGCAAAGTAAATGCAGACTAACAAAAAAAAAAACACAAAGTCAATTTTAAATATAAGCACCCTGAAACGAAAGCAAGAGCACCCTCAGTTGATACTGTAATGATATAATATTACTGGCGAAACAGATTTAGCAAACGCTCTATTGCATTTCTGAGTTTGAGCCAATCACAGACATGTTTGTTGATCTCTTGAACACAATGGCCAATCAGGGGTGTTTAAGTTAGAATCCACTCATTGCTTAAAATTAAAATGAAAATTGCTTAAAAAGAGTTTTTGTTCAGTGCTGAGTTATGCTCGCTCTTGCTAATCCTCTCTCATTAACGATTCATTACGATAAGAGATTCATTATGCAGTGTAGATAACTTTGTTGATTTTAATGGAACGTTGTGAGATCGCGCACTGAGATGAGGGACAGCTTTTTAGTGATTGTAAAGGCAGCGGTCTTTCACAACTTTGAGGCTATATAGCTATAATCCGTTGAATAAAAGTATAGTTTTTTTTATGCTGCTAATAGGACCAACGGCTAATTACACGCTGCAAAGTTTTGGAAGTGACATCTACATATAAATGTGTGATTCAGTCTGAAGCTGCGATTGACATAGTGATCCTAGCACGGGACAAAAATATGGAATGTCAAAATAGATAAACGCAAAGTAAATGCAGACTAACAGATTACTAGAAAAATATTTGTATCAAATATATCTTTTAAATTCCATTCCAATTATTTGTAAAACTAATACCTTGTAAATAATCTTAAATGTCTCACTGTACATTGCTATTCTTGTCATGGTGGAGCCCTTGCTTACACATTACATCTGCACTTAATTAGAAAACCCTCACTAATTTCAGATACTCAGCGATTTGATTCTTAAAGGTCCCATATTGTCAAAACTCATGAATATTAATTAGACAGACCAAAATCGACCTGTTCTCAGCAGAGCTCCTGAGAGAGGAGCTGTAAAAATATATTGAGATGGTTTTTGGTACTTATACCGCAAATATATATTCTTAAGGACATCAAATCCTAAAATAAAACTCCAGAAAGGTGTAAAATATGTGACTTTTAATTGTCAATCTCAGAGTAAAATTGAAATGTTAAGTTTTAGTAAACTTGAAGCTTAACGGTGCGTTTCCACTGGCACATAGCGAGCGCAGCGGAGCGAGCGTTTTCAATTCATTCCTATGGAAGTTGAGCTTAAACGCTCGCGCGGTGTATTATGGGATTGAAAGCGGCACTGAGAAAGCGTTGACAGCGGCTGAGAGCGTCAAAAAGATTGGGCATTCCTCGACTATGGACTATCCTCGCAATATGTCGAGCGAAAAACGCCGGGCGACAACCAATCGCTGTGAAAGGAAGAAGATGAAACGTAAACAGGGTGTTTTTCAGAGGCATGCTCTGCCCTATATTTGACACGCTCTGAAGTGCTCTGCCCTATATTTTGTCCATCTGACTAGTACAATTAAAATGTATGACTCTGCAATATACAGACAGTGATGCATGTGCAACAACAATAATGTGCATAGTTCTGATCTACTCTCTTAATATACATATAATTTATTCTTAATAATAATATGGTTAGTTTCTATTAATAACGAAGGCTACATGCTTAATATGTAGCTCAGCTTGTATCAGGGAGTCCCTGCTCCATGTCTCTATTGCCTCTATATATAAGGGGTTCTTGCCCTGAAAAACGTTGAAGACCCCTGATCTAGAAGAATGTATATGTAATGTTAACATCCATGAACTTTTAAATACTGTACATGTTCCAAGTGAAAACTGTACTTACTCTAATTTGGTCAACAATTTTGCGGATTTGGGGTTCAAATCCCATGTCCAACATACGATCAGCCTCATCCAGCACTAGGTAGGTGCAACGGCGCAGGTTGGTTTTTCCTGCCTCCAGGAAATCGATCAGACGGCCAGGTGTGGCAATGCAGATTTCAACACCTTTAGGAAGTCAAACAATGTTTATTGAAAGAAAAGCCCTTAAGTGTTACTGGTCAATTAATCCAAAAATAATCAGAGTTACTATTACACTTGTTCAGGAAAAGGGTTGAGAACCACAGCTCTATCCACCTTTTTCCTACAGCCCATGACACTTTGCACAACTTATGGGAGAGTAACTTCCATTGAAATGTTGACAATCAGCGACTACCAATGAACTTGTTTAACGTTTTGCTTTATGAATGCAATAACAGACTTAAAATTTTCAAAATATACATTTTCTAAAATGAGGTGATGTTATTCTCCTCACACCTCTATCATTAAACATAAAAAACGAAAAGCAGACCAAGACTAACCCCAAGAGCTCAGATTAGTCTTTCAACAGCAACATTATAGATGTCTTAAATATTACTGTAGTAATATATTTAAGTCTATATCAGTGCATTCCAGTAAATTATTCATGGGATATCATTAATTAAATTGGGAGAGCAGGCCAAGTGCTACATTATTTTCCAGAAGGATAAAAATAGAGCATGACAGAAAATTTACAGCTCATTTGGTCAAACTGACCAGGGTTACTGTGTGCTATTTTTACTGGCAAAGGCTTTAATTATGTACATTTAGTCTGACAGCAAGTAAAAAATAAAAACTGTTCTCAAGAGTAATCATGATTATAATTTTGAGCAAATAACCTTGATTACCATTATCATGCAGCCCTAAAAGATGATAATATCAATATGCATTAACAACAGGTATACTGTATTAAAAAAATATATATTATTGGTAGATGTGGGTTAGTTCCCATACCTCTTTCTAAATCTCGGATCTGTGGACCCTTAGGGGCTCCACCATAAACACAGGTACTCTTGATCCGAGATGATTTGCCATAGTCATAAGCCACTTGCTGCACCTGCTGGGCTAATTCACGCGTCGGTGCCAACACAAGACACTAAACAGAACAGAGAGCAGGAAAAAAATGGCATAACTGAAGAATGTGCTAACAAAGAACTATGGATACATTCTGGTCCTACAGTACATCAAAAAACAATTGTATATTGTTCCGGTTCTTAATCAGTGCCTAATTATTGAGGTAAAAGTTGTTTGGCAACTGTACTCCTCCTCTAGCAACACCAGAACATTTTGGATGCTGTTAGATCCGAAATGATTGAATTGCTCTCATGAGATCAGAGTATGGATTCCCAGAAGTCTATATTTTGTGCATATGGACCTTGGAAAAAGCTAAATGAGTTTATTGTGCTTTGGCTAGTCGGTAGTTCTGGTGTGGATAAACAACCATGCATGTCACTTCTGCATGCTGCATCTTACTTATTTTCTTGAATAATTTTAACATTCTTCTTTGGTAGCTGATCAAGCAGACTTGCTGGAATATTATATCTCTAAAAAACCTCTGTCTTCTAAGCAAAGAGTAATTGCTGAATTTGTTAAGTTTCAGAGGGGGTGTACTCATTTATGCTGTGCACTGTACATACATACAGTGGAGATCAAAATTAGAGAACAATCTATAAATACTTAATTTTTTTCTGAAATATTGATCATCTTCATCTCTTAAAATTTGAAGGAATATTAGCTGTAGATATAACTCTGTTCCACTAACACTTTGACAAAATAACCAAGGCATTTCAACAAAAACATTTATTTTGTGGAAAAACAAACAGTGATCAAAATTAGAGAACAGTAACCACTGTAGATTACAACTAAAATGTTGGAGGGTTACAGCTAGGGCTGAGCGATATGGCCAAAAAAAAATCATATCTCTGTATTTTTTTGGAACACATCTTAAACGCATTAAACAGCACAAGTAGCGTCTCTGTCAGCAGCATGTGTCTGTCAGAGCATCTGACAGGGTAAACCACTTTAAACTATACGTGTTAACTATATCTTATGAGTTATTTTAAAGCCCTTAATATAAGCATCTCATGTTTAGGACAAATTGGATTATGCACTTTCCCCACAGCAGCTCACTCTGTGTCCTTTTTCAGCGTGCTCGTATCAAACTACTGTATATCGATATATGCGGTACTGCCTCATACCATATCGCTTATAAAAAATATATCAATATATCGTACAAACCTGATATATACCACCCAGCCCTAGTTACAGCTGTCAGAAATTAGTAGGAAGTGTAGAGTCCCTTGCTTTGAGTGACTTTGGCACATCTGCGTCCGCAGAACATCACTAGTTTCTCACACTGCACTGGTGTGATCTTGGTCCACTCTTCTTCCACTCTCTTCCATAGTTCGGTAACTGTAGTGGGTTTCTTAGCCATAACTTTGTCGCCAAGGATTTTCAATCAGGTTTAGATCAGGGCTCTGGGCAGGCCATTTCATTATTTCAATGTTCTTGGCTTCAAGGAACTGCTTTATCTGTTTAGCTGTGTGACAGGGAGCATTGTCTTGCATGAAAATTGCAGGCTGGTTGGGAGATGCTTGCAGGGAAGGAACTACATGTTGGTTCTGGTAAACATTTGCATTCACCCTGCCATGTAGCCGTTTAAGAAGCCCAACTCCTGCTGCAGAAAACATTCCCCAAACCATGACACTTCCTCCTCCACCTTTCACTGACTTCTTTACGCACTTGGGCTTCAGTCTTTCCCCAGTTTGATGCCAAACAAAATGTCTCCCATCAGACCCAAATACATTAAGCTTGCTCTCATCACTAAAGTGAACTTTTTACCAGTTCTCCTTTCCACACAACATGCTCCTCAGCAAAGGTGAGCTTAGCCTTTTGATTACTTCTGCTAAAGAGAGGCTTCATCACTGCAGTGTGCTTTCATTTTGACTTCTCTTAAAGGGATAGTTCACCCAAAAATGAAAATTACCCCATGATTTACTC